TTAAATGACGAAAAATTAGGTGTCTGTTTACTTGTGACCACTCAGTGTATATTTGCCATGAAACATTATATTAGGCCTATTATATTTTTAACACTAATAGGCCTGACAAATATAATTAATTATATCGCCAGCTTCTAAAAAGGCGTTCACACCAAAACAGTTTTTCTTGTTGTAACAAATGTCCTATACAAGTAGTATTCCGACCGCTACTCTGTTCGTTGTATTCCAGCTTTGGATTGAACGAAAGGCGTTATCGGCAATGGATATGACGAATATAGTATGTTTGAAATCATGGGCGTCCGCAGGAGAAAGGGGGTAAAAGTGCTCCTTGGATTAAAAGTTTTGCATTTCCCAAGTCATAGCCATGATATCCCCCCTCTGTGATATATCCTGAGGACGCCCATGATTGAAATACTAATATTATACACCCTTCTGATTGTTGAAAAGCCGTGAAGGGTTAGATTAAGAATGTAGTGTTAAAAAATAAAATAGGCCTAACATAATGTCTTATGACAAATATAATTAATCATATCACGCTTCGCCAGCTTCTAAAAGGCGTTCACACCATAGCAATAGTTAATGTAGAAAATTTATTTATATTCTTTATGTAAAAAATTATGACATAACAATCTCGAATATTTATTCACAACCTCCGAGACCAAGACATAATCTTACATCACTTATGCACATCCCAGACAACCCAACGTAATAAGGCAGCATTATTTCGAAACCCATCCACACTCTGTTGTTAATAATTATCTCTTGTGATATGAAATTCTCAAATATAAGCACACAAATTCAACTTAATTTTTCTTTATTATTTATAATCTTACAGTATATTGAAATCACTAGTTGTTGTATCCTTGCGATGCATAGTCAGGGGCTTATAAACGTTTTTTTGTTTTTTTAATAAAAAAGAATTAGTAACACGTGACTTAAAAACGTCTCACTTAATACAGTTGTGTCTATCTTGAAAGTATGTATAAACAATATATGAAAAAGAAATCCCTGAAATAATTGATGGGATTTGAAAACGAAATGCAAGTGTAGGATTAATGTTTTACCAGTTATGAGTATAGATAACGTATCTGTTTTTGTCCTAAATATGACAGTAATGATTGAAAGTACATATACTGTATGC